AAAAACAAAGAACAGATCTCTGTCGATAGTTCAAATTGTGTGGGTGGCCCATTTTAAGCGTTTTTACCTTTCCAATACGTTTTAAACCTTCAAAAACCGCATAGGAGCTGACGCCCAGTTCTTCTGCCATCCCACACACGTAATAGGTCAGTCTCTACCAGGGTTCTCGAATCCTAGTCCTGGGTTACTGTAATCGACCATTTCGGGGCTCATCTTCGAGGCTAAAATCTCCGGAACGAAATTTCGGAAAACAACGTCGAAAAGTGAGTTCATTAACAGTATCATTGCCAAATGACTGGTTAATTTTTCCGGCTGTTTCGGCAGCACTTCGGTTCAATTCGAATTCTTTGAGAAAAATTGGCCGGAAATCGCTTAAAGACATTACATAGTAACAAGCTGAAAAGAGGCAAAAAATTAATATTTGGAAAAAATGAACAGCACCAATGTATAGAGTACATTCTTTATCGATCAGTATATACCACGACACAGTAGAATGAAGATTTATCAAGATATAGAGCTACAAATACACGTGACAGAAACCGGCAAAGGTTTTGAAACAACCTAATATTTAAGTGCCAATGTTTTAGGTTTCATTTTCCCGATATATACCCGAATAGGTTGAGTAATTTTTATTGCTTTCACAAGATCGTGAATTCTAAAAAATGAACAATTGAAATATTAAATTCCCCCATTAGTAAATTAAATATAACACATACTCGCTTTCTTCAGGAAAAACACTAAAAATTAATTTTTTTTCATTCTACAAAGTATGAAAAAATCGAATGCATTTCATATTATGAAGATTTGAATAGGAAAGAGGAGTTCTGAAAGTCTAAATTCTTTAGAATTTCATCTATCAATAAAAGTCTTCGGAATATTTAATTATTTGATTTAATATTATTACAGTACTTTCTTCTGCACAAATCTGTTTAGCAGAATTTATAAATACACTGAGCAACAGTCAAATCCTGGATGACAGAATACACAAATCAATATATTTCATATTACAAACAATTTTACACAGAGAACAGTTATATAATTCACCTTTAATTTACCATTACCATTAAAATTATAAAAAAACTATTTCTTCAGATCTTAACAATTCACATCATAAATTGTAATGTATCACCCAGTATTCACTGTTTCTAACAAAAAAAAAACATTTCAACAAATATCAAATCGCCTAATCTTCCATTTAAAATTGCTCACTGGGAAACTAGAGAGTGGCTAATCATCAAAGGTCACCAAATGATTAAATACTCGTCAGTGAGTACAAATGAAACAATTCTTGCATTTATGTTTTTTGGAGTCGATGCAAGAGATACAATCATTAAAAACTACCAACATTAAACAAAATACCAAATATCACATGTTTAATACTTCATCAGATTTACACATCATAAAGTGGTAAACTCAAAATTTAAAATTTAATATGAAGCTTCAGTGTTCCAATTCAGTTTGAGACAGTTGATTGGGAAATTATATTAGCCTTAGAAAACAAAGTTCAGGAAAACATTAAAATTCTGGGCCCATTAAAATATACAAATATGAAAAAACTATTTTTAGTAATTAGATGATCCTTTCATGATACAATAATTTTACAATCAACAAAAAACAATAAATACATAAAACTAACAATCGCAAGCATTTACATGCTATCAATAATTATTATGCTCTCAAATGCATATAACATACTTCTGGTAAAAAAAATCTGTTTAAAATCTGTTTTTCCGTTAACCAGCTGTCGCACCCCTACGAACGACAACCCTCAGAAGTCGAAACTTGTGCGAGCTAAGGATTACCGAAGTCTTACTTTTTAACGTGTGATTCCTAACACGGGTTGGACGATAACAAGTGAAAATCAGTCGTTCAGACTAGGGCTTGAACCACCGACCAACACGGCAGTCAATTCGAGTGAGTGAACAAAGCACCCACGTCGAACCGCCTGGCTACCGACCGTGTTGTTATCACACATTTATTTACATATGAAATTTAAAGAGATAGTCTAGGATCCCGCTGCAAAATCACTACATCCCGTCCATAGCGTATTTAACCAAACCATGCTTTAATGAATAGGAGAATACAATAATGACAGGGTGCCAGTCGAAAAGTGGCCGCAAATATTTTTCATTAAAAAAAGCAAGTTTGCCTTAGATTTCACGACTGAAGTAACACTTCCTTAGCTTCATCTATATGTATGTATGTATAGTCGAAGTAAACGGTATTGTGCACAATTAAAGTTGGCGGCACTCTTAGGAAAAACTTGAGGAAACTAATTAAACCATGCCTATACTTAGGAAATCATTGAAGAATGACTATGAGATACGTCTGTTAGTTCTAAGCATCTGAAAACTCAATCTAGTTGAACATAAATATGTTTAAAAAATCATTGGAGGTGCTGAACCTCTGCAGATTTTGAGATACAATACAAATATAAACACATTTATGAGACACTTGTGTACTTTACAAAGTTGTATACAGGGGATTATACAAATGGATAGTTCATTTCATTGGTAATATATTAAATGTCACAATCTTGTAGAAAAGTTCTTATTAGAAATGAATAAATGTTATACACATCAACTGATTTGAAGCAACTCACATTTTCCCTTATTAACACAGTATTTGCTAACTAGCATATCTCCGTTTGTTTGGTCTGGTTTAACTCAATCAAATATATTTGAATTTTATCCATCATAAAATTTAAATTATTCAACAACATGTGAAATTAGAAAATAATAAAAATAGTACTTCTACTTTGAAGGTAGTATGAAAACAGAATATAAATGGAATTCCACAGTTTGTTTGAACTTCATGAAATAAGTCACAATGAAATGTCTTACTTATTTTCAATGTGATTCTCTTGCCTGACAATCTTTTACATAAAGTGTATATATTCAATATGTACACAGAGTACTGTGAGTAACGTAAAGTACAGTAAATCTTGTTTATTTGAACTGTTAACTCTAGAGATAATGGTCATGAAAGTATAATAAAGTACCAACTAAAAATTTCAAATACAAGGGTTCAATGTGTTGAAAAAAACAATATCCAGGCTAGTAGACCGTGGTAGAAAATAACTTGTAATACCAAACTCATTCGTTTGCTATTGTAATAACTGAGTCAGTATTTGCTGAGAATTCAAGACATTACCCATGTCCCTTCAGTAAACGCATACACCAAGGAAGATGTATGTGCGCAGTAGCAGACAAAACGTTTGGTTCTACAATTTCCTTTCAACTGGGTACCTGCCCAGATTTTGTTTTTTCTATAATCTTCACTTCAACAGTGAAAGATTATGTTCTTATATTTAATGTGTTATATGAAGTTCTGAAGAAAAACTTCAGTTAGTCAGACAATATATCATATTTATAAGTTTTTGACCATAAAATATGATGAAATGATAAAAAATTCCATAAATAGGACACGACCCAGCCTAAAAAAACTAATTCTCTTTTTCCATATTTCTGTGGCAGCAGAAATATTTCAAGCTGAAAATGTGTTTCAGAGGTTACCGGAAGTGTGTTTTGCTGGTTCTTACCACTATTGCGGTACCTACTACAGTTATATATAAAACAGTTTATTAAAAACTAGTAAACCAAACGTCAAAATACTAAGCAATGATTTTGTTTTGCTCAAAGTGACAATTGGCAGATAACTGATTTAAATTTGGAGTATTTAAATGGGTGATTGCTAAAAGGTAACTCGGTCACTTTTATGCTTTTTTGAAAAAAAAAATAAATTCTGAACCAACTTCGTTTTGCAAATGAAGAATAAAAAACATTTTTCGAATCCCTAGATAAATAGAATCATATGATTTTCACAGCATTTTATCGTTAATAATTTCTACAAAAATATAAACATTTCAATGACTCAGGTATGTATTTTCAACATTAAACAGTTCCGTTTATCATGAATTGTTTCAAAGAACTACATAGGTTACCAGGTTAATTTTTCAACTATCAAATAGAACATATATAAAACCTAGTAAACCTAACGTCAACTAAGTAGAATCTTGGTAAACTTTGAAACATTAAAAAGCAACTAGTTACTCGTCCTCTCCAGCTGAAGTTTCGTTTATCATGGGCCAATATACCCAGATCCATTTTTCCACTCATTTGAAAAATATTATAGATGGAAACACACGCTTATAATGTGTATGCATGCGTGCAAATTGTGCAAATAACCTCAGAGAACAAAAATGTATCTAACTCAAAATCTCAAAAAACTGCCTCGAGTCCCTTTTTAACAATTAGTCATTCATTTGTTTTATCGAATTTGGATAACACACTAAGAAATTCATCAACAGTTCATGAAATTGTCTAACGTTAGAGATCTTCTGTGATTTTTTTCTTCTAAAAGAAGAAGCCATCTTCAACTTTCATTCATTTCAGTAAAAAAACTAATTAATTGGAAATTGTATGATCACAGTGTATGATTCCCAGTTTTCACTTCGAAAATAATTCAGCAATAACACACTTGATAACTAAACAAATGTCTTGTTTCAAAAGTAACCAACAATAGTATATTTTTCAGGTGCTGTTGTCAAAAATTCTGATTAGTAGTGGTCAAGAAGTGGTTATTTTTGAAACCTATCTTGAGATATAGTTTCATATCCCTCAATTGGCAAAAACTACAGAACAGAGAGTGATTTTACGCATTATCCAATTTTGTTTTTCAATTTGTAACACGCCATACATCAGATTTTGTAACCAATTTTTCTCCAGAAGCTTTTTCACATTAAAATATTTATGTTCAAGCAAATTAATTTTAAAGATGAAAGGTAGAGATAGTAAAAGAAATAAGTATATCTTGATGCTCATCGTCCATTTTGTGAATGATCTTGAAACCTCAAAGTATTTTTCAAAAGCATTTCTTCCATTCTTAGAAATGTCAGGATACTTCTCAATTTCATCAATACGTGTTAAAAGATATGAATTTTAGCAAAGATGTAGCTTTCTTCATGATAATATCAAAACTTTTTAGCTATCAAAAGTTTATTTTCAAAGATGTATTTAACTTTTATTTGTTTTAATAAATTGGAATGATTCAGAAATAATATCAACTTTGTTTCCTTGCAAGTGAACAAACACAATACTGACAATTTCTAACTTACTCCATTGTGAAGTCATATTACATATACTTATATTATAATATCTATGGCCCAAGTCACAAAATTATTGAATAATTTAGTGACATTTCTTCATGTGAGCCCACAACAGATGATAATTCAATAATTATGATCCATTTCTTTGAAATAACAAACTTAAAAATCCAAAAACTAGAAATGCATCACATTATTTCATTTTGTTCAAAAGTTGTGTTGAGTCATGAACTAATAATCACAGTAAAAATACTCAAAACCATTCTGAAGATATACAAAGATTCAAGTATCACTACAAATATCCTAATGATTTTAACAAGCATGTTTCTTTCAGATCACAATTTGATGCAAATACGCCTTTCAAAATTTGAAATATATTTTCAGAGTACTGATGGTCAAATCCAATAAATTTGCAATAGAACTTTCGAATTAACTGAGAAATGGTTATTCTCAAACAAATCACGACAAATATACGAATTTCTATACAAATTCAATATGATGCGGTGGAGGCTCCCATGCGATTCGATACGAAATAGTATACTAGACCGCAGTGGGAGTTCTTGACTGTCAATGCCACTTTGCCTTTTGAGCAAAAATGTCTGCCCTGAGGTTTTGTGAGAAGCAGATGCCCAATATCTAAAACAAAAAGGAATATAACGTTTTATATATTATATCAATTATGTTAGCTGACAGCATTGCCTCAAAATGTCTTGAATTGGTGAATAGCAAAACATCTATAATATGAAAGTTGCAAAACATGCAAGATAGAATCAGCAGATTTTTCCCAAATATTTTAAACAAAACAGAGGTAACATTTTGTAAATTGATCATGGTCCACAATATACTTTTAATAAATCCCGAGCTCAACTCTATGATATGTCCCAAATAAGAATGATGGTATTTATAATAATAAATCTTTATTGCATTTTGAAACAATTGCATGTATAAGCATGTTCCAAAAATATTTATCATATTTTGGACAATCACGAAAATACTATCAAGTATCAATAAATTATCGTTTCCTCAATGATAGTAATAGGACTGTACATGTTTACTGAATGGATGGTCAGACTCAGCTGATTTAATATGGTTGAAGAGAGAATTATAAATATGGGTGGCTACGAAATAAAATACTGAGATGAATTGTCTACTAAAAATGTATCATTAAATTCATGTTGACATTATTTCAACCCTTAGAGAATTTATTCATAAGTATGTCATTTTTTTGTTTCATGTTTTATATGAAATACTTTGATGAGTAGAATTGGAAACTGACGTAAAATGAATCTGAAGAAAACTCTTTTCCGTCACCAGAACAACATCACTCTCTCGACACACGTATCGCTACATTTAAAATTATTAAGATGAGTATAGAGTTTGATATACAAGTTTGACAAACAAATACAGTTTCAGAAACTATGAATTCTTTTTTTTTAAATACTTCAATTCGTTCATTTCTCATTAAGAAATGGAACTGTTACACAAAAAACTAGATAATCAATATGATATATAATTTTTAATTTTTCCAAAATTTCTTTCTATCATACTTCATCATTCAAAACATTATTGTTTGGGAAAAATTCACTGATAATATCCGGTAATGAGTAAGAAACACTTACGTGGAAAAACAACACAATAAAAATGCAAGAAGCTATAGAAATCATATTTTTTTCTGTCCATTCCTCTATTGCCTCAAGACAGCCCTGCTCGTTTATTATTCTCGTTACATCAAAAGTCTGTAATAAAGCCATAAAAACAAAAAACTATGGACAAGACAACATAACATATATAAAGGCTATTAAGATATTTGGACTTGCAACTCTCATTCATACTCTACAAAGACAAAAAACTCAAATGTTTATTCAACAAATGACTTGATTTTTGCAAATATGAAATACCTTTACGATAGCCTCACAAGGAAAAAATTATTTTGTGCAACAACGACATTCAATTGTTTTTCATGAAGATGTACCTGTAGCACCATAATTCCAACATTAACAGCTGCTACAGGAACTAAGTTACTTTCTATCCATTCTTCACCTGCTCTCAAACAGCCTCTTTCAAAAATATGCCTTTCTCCTGGCTGCATTCAACATCAAATAATTGAACTTTCAAGTAATTTCTAATATATTTTAAAAATGAAATATATTTCAGAAATTGGTAGAGAAAAAAAAGTAACTCTTTGATAACAGAAAATTGCATTGGTAAAACAAAAACTTCTATACGAATTTTCAGTATAATACAATATTTCACAAAAACAGTATTTTCAGGCGCTACTAATTTTAACGACCCTTTAACACACAAGGTCAGGCTTCTGTAACATTCACATCAATATGTCCGCACTATCATTTCATAGCTAATATTCAAGCCATTTCCTACAACTTGTCTAAAATACAAGTAGCATAAAGAATTGATAATATTTTTACTCAATACCCAGAACCAACATACAAGTTCCAATCAACGGGATGACTGTTATGTAATAAATTCAAAAAATTCTAATAACTGAGTTAGCTGAAATACATTTTCATGCAGGAGATCAAATACTGATTTTGGAAAACAATAATATTTTTTTGATCGATTAACATTTGATTACGGTGAATGAAGTTTTTTATTATTATTATTATTATTAACATCAACTTCATTTCTTCTGTTGTTAGTGCATAAACTAAGGAATAAATTTTATAAAATCGTGGACATTTCAGAAAAATAATTGGATTGTTATTCTCAAATTGTCATGGAGTATTCAATTTTCAGCAATTCACTCCTTCAACTTTAACTGGCAATCAAAATTTTGAACACTCCTTGTGGTTGATTTTTTTTACATACTGAATACAACAAAAATATTGTTGAAATGGGTTGATAAATAATGGAAATACTTAACGAAATGAATTTAAATAAGAATGCCAATATCTGATCAAATTGTGTTAAAGCTGCCACAGCAATGTTCTAGAAATAATTGCAATTTGTTTATTACTGATGTCAAACGCAATATAGGGAATTTAGACTGCTATTTGTTTACGATCCAAGAAAATATGCTTTGCTGAAAAAGAAATAATTGAAGTTTCAATGATGATTGGGTTTGGAAATTTTGTCCAATCCTCTGCATATCATGAGGTATTCTTTTCAGCAAACCCTTAATAGATTTATAGTAACTTAGCTAGATGTGAATGTGAAATTTTAGCTCAATCCAAAATTTTCATAGCAAAATCTCAATATTTTTTCATGTGTGTTCTATTTGGAACACACTGAGGATATTTCATCATCAAATGTCTTGTTGAAATATGCACGAGATAATTTATACTAAAGTGTTTGATATAAGTGATATATTGTCCTAACACACCTATTCTGAATCATCTACAAGGCCTATTCAAAAAATGAGGTGAATGTTCAAATTTCGCGGGCTACGTACATTCGATGAGCAATTTTTTTATTTTTTCATGTTGGTACACTCGTCTCGAACATATGTTCACAGTATCATCTATTTACCATTTCAGTTTGTTGGTAAGGGGCATAGAAGTTTCAAGTGTTGAGCATGTTCGACGGTTTTCTGCTATCGAAAAAAATTAATCAAAGAATTTGCATAAAATTTTGCGTAAAAAATTTAATTATTTGCTCAAAAACACTTGAATCATTGACAAGTGGTATACGAAAATTTTACTCTGAGTCAGAAAAATATTCACGAGTGGTACAAGCTTTCCACAAAAGATTGAGATGTGAATGACGAGGGCCCTAGACGCCTAAGCACATCAACAACCGATGAAAATGTTAATAAAGTGAATGAAATTATTAAGGATAATTCTCAAATCACTATTAGAAAAATTGCTTAGGATGTTCACATATCAGTTGGCTCATGCCATGCAATTTTTTCGGAAATTTTGGGTATGAAGCGTTTGGCAGCGAAATTTTTTCCAAAATTGCTGAATTTTGACGAAAAAACCGTCGCATGAGCATCGCTCCGGAATTTTTAAATGATGTCAATGGCGATCCAGGTTCCAAAGAAAGAGCCCAGGAGAACCAAGACCAAAAAAAGCACGCCAAGTTCGATCAAATCCAAAGGTTTGGCTTACTGTTTTCTTCGATTACTGTGGCGGAGTGTATCAGTAGTTCTTACCACACGGTTGTAAGGTCAATAAGGAACATACACAGTGAGGACAAACCAGCAAATCAGGAATAGCAGAGCATGTTTGGACTCATCAACATAACATCAAGTGGGCTCAAGGGGCTCAAACTGAAATCATCCACAAAGAGAAACACTGGTTCGGGAGAAAATTAAAAAAAGCCGTATATATGTTGTCCAAAAACGCATTTAGCCAAGCTAGCATAGAGATAAGCAACATATGGAAACCTCTAATCAAGCGGAACACGACCAACTCCCACCAAACGGTCAGCTTCCGCTGACCGTTTGACTGACCGATGTAGCAGAGAGAGGCCAGAGGGGATAGGTGAAAGCGCTCGAATGACCTATAGTCAGATCTCGGAGGAATGATTCCAGTTATCACCCAAAAACGATTGTGGATACTAACAATCGAAACGTCGTGTAGTAACTTGGTTTGGAATCTTTTAATTTTTATTTTTCATTTCTTGTTAATATTTTTTAATTGTTATCTCGTTTTGATAGTTCAATTTTTTATTATTATTTTTTTTGCTTGTATTTTATTTCATTGTAATTTCAGTTTTTTTGCTTGATATATTTGTTATTTCTCAGCTAATCTTTGTAATTTTTTACAGATTCTTTCAGGGATTTCAAATCAATTTATATCAATATTAGACAATGGAAGTCCGAGCTAATGAAATACACCACAAAACATTGTCAACCACTTTCAAACAAACGTCAATAAGGAGTATTATCTTGAAGTTATGCGCGACTTACGAGAAGCAATACGAAAAAAACATCCCGTATTGTGGAAAAAAATCCATGACTTTTGCATCACGATAATGCACCTGCTCACTCGACATCGTAATTTTTGTCCAAAAACAAAAACAACACTGTAGTCATGTCTCAGACACTGTAATTGGGCCCCTTCGACTTTTTCCTGTTTCCAAGATTGAAGATACCCATGAAAGAATGGCGTTTTACGACGAGTAAGTAGATAAAAACCGAATCACTGAGAGAGATCAAGGACATACCAAAAATTGTGTATCAGAACTGCTACGAGGATTGAAAAAACGCTCACACAAGTGTATTATATCTGAGAAGGCTACTTTAAAGGGGATAAAATAGAAATTGATGGATAAATATTTTTTGAACAAACAAGAAGATCAACCTGAACACACAAGTTGATTATTTGAAATGTTCAAACTGAGCACTATTGAATCATACTTATGAAATTGACAGAAATAAGCACTCATAATGGATCGTTCTCGTTCCAGTACAATATAAGAGTTCTTCATTTTTGCCTGTTTGAAGTCGAGTTATTTCGTTTATTAAAGTGTGTTTTAAAAAAAAATGGCATACACACACTTCAAGAGCGGATTAAAATTATGGGTTTGTTAAAGGAAAATCTGCAAAGGTCACTGGTTATGTTTTCAACAAGAGTCATCCAGGCAGATATAAATATATATGGGGACTATTACATAAATGACCGTTCATTATTTATCGATAAAGAAGGCATCAATGTTGCAGTTCTAAGTCACATTGACTTGATGGAAAATATGCAGTCTTTGACGAAGTCCCAAGCATCAGGAGTGAGTCGTACAAACGTTTTCAAAATTCTTCATCAAAACAAATTACACTGTTAAAAAATGGAAATGATTCATAATTGTAAGGAATATGCTTTTGGAAGGAGAGTTGAATTATGTGACATCCTTTTAAAATATGTCAACTGTAATCCAGCTTTATTATACACGTTTCTTGGATGAATGTACCAAGTATCTAAATATGCAAGTAAATCGTCAAAATTACCGATATTGGAGTAATTCAAATCCCAAAATAGTACTCTCAATTCTCAATATTACCAAAAACTTAGGCTTGGGCAAACATTTTGTTTAGCCATATTGCGTAGTACAAGTGCGACAATTCCTCTTTTATAACTTTCCCTGTCGATAAATTGCAAAAAGAGATTCTACATATGGCCACCCAGATTCTCTGATTTGCCTCAACTCGACTTTTTTCAAGTGGGCACGTTGAAACGCAGCCAACTACTACAGACAATTTCCAGGAAGAAATTGTCAGGTGCTGTAGGCTACTAATACCTGATATTCATAATGCATGCACCATTGTATGCAAGTTAATGGTGGCCAGTTCGATCATTTGATGAAATAAATTTTTCTGTTCAGTTTCACTCTCTAGTTCGAAATTTAATACACACTTATTTTTTTCTGACATTGCTTATCGTTGTAATGTAAAAAATGACAGGGTTGTACACAGAATTCAGAGATGTTTCAATTAAGGTGTGCCTCGTCTATTATTCAGATTTTAAATTTTTTACATGTGGGTTCTTATGGGGAGGGGGTGGTTGACAAGGGGTTGATTTTTACGTGAAAATATGTTGCCCTAAACATGAAAGTTGACGTGTTTAACGATTTTTTACAGACTCAATAGGAAAAGGCTCATTCACTGAGATTCAGTTTTACTGAAATGCACTGTATGTTACCATTAACCCCAATAAAACTATAAAAATATCTCTTTCCACTTTTCATGAATTATCTGTAGTTTCTCATTTTTTGATAAACTTACCTGATTTTATGAAAATTATAAAAAATATTTTATGGTTCTTGAATTAATGAATCATTCAGCTTACACAGGAGAAAAACTTAATGTGTACTTCAAGTAGATTTGATAAACAAAAAGAAATAAGTACTTACAAATCCAGGCTTTCTAACATCGTAACCACATTGTTTGTTCTTTATAATTTCCTGCAATAAAACATATTACCAATTCATATAAAACAAATTTTGGTAAATTTGTTTTGTTTTGGTTGTTCAAGAAAAATATGGAATATTTCAATTATTACCTCGTGAATATATTAATTCTGTTCAGAAAAATTCAAATATTTACATGTCAAAATCTCAACACAATTAATTATTTCATGAGAGAAAGTTGTTTCATGGTTAATTCATGGATAAAAGTCTACAAGATTATCTTTCTGAAAAATTTCAAAGTGACTTCTGAAGTTCAAATAATTATTTGCAAGACAACTGAAGTTGACTATGACTTTAGTCAATGTCAAAAACAAAATGAAATACTCAATTGATATTTTTTGACCTTAAAGAAAGGCAGAGTTCATTAGAATGATGGAGATACTTCAGGATCAGGTAGAGGTCAGGATCGGTCATAGGTAAAATATTCATAAATATGGAAAGATCGCTTTTTAAAGAAGAGGCCACACAAAATATAAACAAAAATTGAATCTAAAACAGCACTGACTGATGTAAACCGCTGACATATTAATATTGCAGTGATGCAATAGATAATGTCAGGAAAATAAGCAGAAATTTATAGATATCAAACTCCACAGTTAACAAAATCTTTAAAAGTAACAAATTCCACCCTAACTACGAGGAGCTGACCAGGATTTTGTGAAGACACTGCAGTTTTGTAGAATGTTTCAAAATAAAATTATAAAAAATGAAAGATTTCTGGAGAATATTGTTTACCAAGGATACTGGAAGGAGCTCCATAAAATCCGGTTTGTTAGTGGGCACTACCATTATTATAGTTGCAAACATCTGCACAAACTTTATTGGGAAGGATCATATTTTTTATGTAATTTAAACAGAGAGGATTTTCTTGATTTGTCAGACACTTTCCCAGGCTTAGTGAATACCTACTTAATAACATCATAAATAAAATGTGGTTTTAACTTGACAGAACACCAGCATATTTTAAGAAACATGTTTTCTTATAAGATGAAAAAGACCTGTTCTTCCGCCGATATTACCAGACCTATCATCAAAGAATTTTAAATATGGGAGACATTAGAATTGAAGGTTCAATGTATTCTACTATATGAAAGAACATCAAATTATTGAGAAACTTTGGGTTTTTCTTAGAGCATTGTTGATATATCGAGATATAACTACAGTTAACGAATAAACTGTATTATATTCTTATAGCACCTCTCAATAATACTACTAATCATAATATATTCCCCTAAAAAGGTGATATCCTATTCTTATTAATTTCAATAGAAATAACAAATAGTGATTTTAGTTGCAATAAAAATTTCATGACTAAGTTTTCAAAGAGTCTGTTATCTATAAAATCTGATAATAAAAATATGATATGTTCAACTCAATTTGGCCAACTAATAGAAAAGTGAAACTTTTCAAGGCAGATGTGCAAAATAGTTTCACGAATTAGTTCATATGTGAAATCAGTTTACCTTGGGTTTTCTTTTACAGCAAGAAAATGGAACCCCACAAGCTTCTCTACTGCCTACATCCTTTGAAGAACAATTGAAATAGTTGTTTCTATCCCAATCCTTTGGCCCTTCAATGCCACAGCATTGCAACTAGAATTAAAAAAAAATGTTTATGACAATGGTCATATTAATGAAAATCTAATACAGACCCAATCTTCTTGTATCCAGTCTATCAAATTTTGTTGATCAGGATCCTCCCTATAATGGATGATGAATGTTTGGAAACCAATGGTGGCCTGAGATTTTATCTAGAAAATTTAGGCATAATGCGAATTACTAGTTACAATCATATAAGAAAATGGATAGTGCAATCTGACTACATGTTTGAATATAAAATCAATAGACTCAACAGTTTTGTTTGAAAAAGCAAAAGATATGTCTACTACTGTCTTGGTTGGATCTGTTCTGCACTAACGAGGAGTAAAAACCTAAAACCAGTCTGTAGGTGACATTCAATCAATTTTAGCGAGGTTCTGCTGCTGGACGAATAAGAAGCATTTGCAAGGATTTTCTCTGGAAATTTGCACAAATGTCTGTCAGAAATAATTCAATGTTTATCTTAGTATTAGTCAGGGAAGTAGATGTTCAAATTATTTGGTGTTTCCTGGTTTATTAGCCGTAATGTGCAGGTTTATGAGCTTCAAGTTTACATGAAACTGCGAGTTTTCACTTTTGATTTACACATGTCCATTGGAGCTTCTTTGATGAAGTCTGGATGAGAGTAGAAAAGTTTCAAACCAAATAGTTTTTCATTTGTAGAGGTTAACCTGTTATTAGAAATAAAGGTTTGGTATCTCATTCTAGTCTGATAACAGACATAAAACAGTGAAACATTTGGTTTGGTATCTCATTCTAGTCTGATAACAGACATAAAACAGTGAAACATTCCATGTCAAGCTGAGATGGTTGCCTCCAAGTTGATTAGCGATTTCATCTGTTTGATTGCAAAAATTGCGTTCGATAACATACTTGTAAATAAATCTACATGAAGTTTTCAATTTTATGCGGGAATGATAGTATGATCTAAAAATGTTACTCTCTGAGGGGCAGTGTCTCATATTAAGAGCAAGCTTCTGAACCACTCTGTAGCTTGACTAATAGTCGAAGATATCATGTCATTGATTACTGTAGAATTATTCTAAAGGTAGCCTCATCAACAAATAAAGTTGTTAATACCTACTTCAGAGAAGCCCTAGTTTACTACTTCGCGGGACACCTTTATGTATTGTCAAACATGAACTAATCTCTTTATTGCAGTGAACTAATGGGACTGGACATCAAGATATTTATTGCAGACGAAATGTCAGGCACAAAAACCTGCAGAGCACAGATAATAAACCAGAAAACAAATCATGTGTTCAACCCCGGCCGTGAAAGCCTACACACCATGGCAGGCATTTCCCAGATCTTACTGTGTAGGAGCATTGGAATATGTTTAAAATATTTATTTTCTCAATATGTAAGTGTGTATTTCTTCTCGACACAGACAGAAACTCCCTGTCAAGCCATGACATCAAGGATGGGTGACATATAAAATGCACCTGTTGATCTTCGTTTGCTTACTCAACATGTTGAAGGATTTAAACATTTTAAATATTCATGAATATGCTGATTCATGAATTTCACCAGGATTTTCAATTATAGTGATAGTACAACAAACAGTTTAAAGTTCTTTCTGGTATCCTCCTTACCCTGTTCAGTGAGAAAGCAAGCTGTCTTCCTATCTGAAGGAAAGTGCGCCTCTCTTCTCAATTTTGTTATATTGATAATTTCTAATTACAATTTGCAATCTTGCTCTAAAATTAAATCAAGTGGTTCTATGTTTTTTCAATTCTCTCAGTCTTCTTACAGTCATGAGTTTATGTTAGAGTAACATCGAAATATTTATGAAATAGGTGAATGTGGAAAAACAAATGAAATAAATTGATGATTCAAATTATATCAGAAATTCCAATATTGGAAACAGTTCATCTATCCAATTTTCACACAAGACATGCAGGCTCAGTGTGCCCTGATATAAACTAAATACAGTCATAAGTATTACTGTCATGAATATTATTAAACATTCTGTTAATTTCATAAACATCAGTCTCTTTGGGATTTTATTGCTACATATTTCTTTGCATACTATTTTTCTTCTGTTATTTTTTCCTTTTTCATTTCCGTCTCACTAGTTTTGTCAGTCTATTCAGTTACTTTTGAAATGTTTGCTTGTATATCCCTAGCATTCATAAACGTCAGTCTTTCTGGGATTTTATTGCAACATATTTCTTTGCATACTATTTTTCTTCTGTTATTTTTTCCTTTTTCATTTCCGTCTCACTAGTTTTGTCAGTATATTCAGTTCCTTTTGAAATGTTTGCTTGTATCTCCCTAGCATTAATAACGTTCATTCCTAGATATACGAATAACTGTTTTTTTTTTGTTGAGTAAATTGATTACAATTCAATCTACATAGAATGTATATAATTTTGAATTATCTGCATTTCATAAAGGCATGGGTATGCATGTCACTGCCTATGCCAGCGAAAACGAACTCATCAGGCAAACTGGTGTAAACCTGTATTCAAGACTCAGCCTAGTATAACTGATCTGGCAGTTGGAAACAATTCTGTTTTCTATTCTCTACAAATTTTATAGCTTTATTCTCGTAGGATGAAAAAACTTGAACATATTCAAATTAACGAACAAATACCCAAGTACTTTGTTCAACATCAGTATTTTGAAAATATGTTATACTCACCTATGCAGATGAGCACAAATGCAGGATCTAAGGCAATGTTCGCTACTTTTCCTAAATTATTGAAAATATCTTTTTCACTCCAAGCCCACACTCCTATTGTAAGAATACCAAGGCCAAGAAGCTGAAACAGGAAACTATTCAGGGAACAAAGAGGAATAAGCATAATGAAACTCACCCAAAACAGAACATTGAAACCGAAAATCATGTACTTCAAACACCCACTGATTTCAGTGGTTTCTTTTCTGTATTTTCTAACAACAGGCATATTTGGTAGGCTGACAGTCATACCGAATGAGTACCCTGTAACTATAAATTCTGTTGAGAGGTGTCTATCATTTGAAGACAAATTTCTTTTCCATGATCACTCAGCCTCCTTCCACGAAAATCACTTTGTAAGCAATCGGGTAAGCAACATTATAACACTATGTTTAGGTATAAAAGAAACTTATGTTGAAGTTGAACGTTAAGTAAATTTAAATTTATATATTTATGTTTACATAGAAATACAAAATATTTATATAAATCGATTTGCTTTCCTAGTCGAAGAATCGACCACTCACAAACTGTCACTCCTGTCAATGTCAGTAATGTGTCTGTTCAGTCACAAATCACAATAGGTTTGTTTGTTCTTGTTCTCAGTTTGTACCTCTTACTGTTTCGACTCGTCTAAAATAAGTGACTGAAGAGTTTTACGCGACAACATGTTCAGTATTCAGTTGAGCGCCTGTTTTTAACTGGAACAGTCCAGGCAGAAAACCAGAACAGACCTAATATTGCGTAACTTGGAATACTGTAGTCAATAGCACAGTAACCAATAGTGTCAATGTCAATGACGTTAATTTGAACCTTTCTGCTTTCACATTCATCTGATTAGCGTCACACATTGATAGTTATCAAAACTCTTTTTGAGATTAGCACAGAGTGAATTTACTGTTGAATTTTACACACATCACTAGACGATATGAAAGAAAATAAAATACCAAATACTATTTTATTACGTATGTTCTGTATAATTGCATATAATGCTATAATGATAGCATTTTACGGTGTAAAATTGTTCAAATGAACCATTTGTTACATTTTTAAGACATATTAACCATGCGTTCCACTAAGCGCTCACAACGATCAAAATGCTCCTATAACCGTTCCATATATAATGACTGCGGTCGTTGCGGTCGCGGCAAAAACGTCACTCATGACGTCATTATTTTCGCTCACGGCAAGCTCACAACGACCTAACTGAAATAGTGGGTTGAAGTTGACGTTGGAAATATTTCGGCGCAATTTTTGAAATATGACATAAATGTTATCTGTCATTCGTAATTCATTTCTAATTTCTCTACTTTTTCCATTACATAATCCCATAAGTAATCAATGGAAATGGAATAATTACTTACACCTTGATTATAATCGTTTATAATGACCTCCTCAGAACAACACATCTTCGAAACTAAAGTCTTCCCCGCCCAGTTTAGAAATCTTGTCTGGCATAGTACTACAAAAATTATGAAAGTACTGGTCGATAGAAATACAAAATTATATCACTAGAGAATAAGTGAATAACTATCTGTCACTTGGCGAAATTCCCAAAATTTTTTAACACGTTTTCCTGGTTTTGAACTCGTTTTCTAAATTTGCTACCTTGGTTAATGTATCTGGTAACGCACGTTACATTTAAATTTATGTCAGTGAGCTGTCATTTCAGTATATAGTTTATCCCCAATATTTGAGGAGTTATAGGCTCTGTTTTGGAACTGTGGAAAACATTTTCAAAATCTGTTATGAATGAATGGGTTTTATTTCAATGTTTACATAAAAGTAGTTGTTTCGAAAGTAGGTATCTTTTGAATTGAAAGGGTTATATTTTTAGGAGTGATTAATTTTTGGGAAAGCGGACTTTTTTTCAGTTTGTGTCTGAAAGTTACTTCTTTGCATGATCTGCACATCCATATATAGAGTTACTTATTTTCAAATTGATTACTTCCTGCCTTTCTTTGGAAGATTCGCTCATCCCTTTTTTTGTATCAAGATGGAGTAGTAGAAAGCCAAAAACTTTCTTTCCCAAAAATAAGCTAGCTATAAGTGAATTGAATGTAATGCTGAATTCATAATTGAAACTCCAGTGACTATTTTTAATGTTCTGGGAAGTGATAAAATGAGGACAGGTTTATTCAAAATGTAATACTATATTACACTACAGAATAGTTCATCCTAGAAATAAGTACAATAATAATACATTCATTTTACAGTCCTTATAATTACAAGAGTATTGGTAAATAAAATTGTTCTGGAAAACTGTTCAAGAATAAAATGTTAATACTGACTGCTGATTACCCCTCACTAATAAGTAAGGTGGCATGTCTTTGGTGAGTACTTCTAACCATGCCATATACAAAGGCGCTGATATAGTTCCTTTCCTAGGCATCGGAAGTGACCTGTAAGAATAATGTTATAAGAAAATGTACCCATCTCAGTTGAGAAAAATTGATTTTCACACTGATGAAAAAAGGGCGAAGTGTTTGATATAAAGGGGAAAGTATGTCTTTGTCCAGATTGAAGCTCTCAGAGATTTTACAGACTACTGATAAAGAAAAAGTTGAAAAAGCGGATGGCAAACATCATTAAATCCAGTTTGTGTCACATTGAGCTTTCTATAAAAGTTTAGATATTCAACCTTCTGCTGCCGGTGAAGATATGCATTCCAATGTCCTGGAATCCAAATTAAATGACGAGACAAGTGTGCTGTCGTCAGCAAAGCAATATTTTGTATTCTGGGTTTTTTCCAATAAGTCGTCGATATACAATAAAATGAGGGTTGGAGACAATATAGATTCCTGGGGAACACCAGCGTTGATGGTGAAATTATTCGAAAGATATCCATTGACGGCCACTAGCAGGGAATGTTCTTTCAGGAAGTTTCAGGAAGATGAAGAGCCATACACAAAAGTGATTCGACATGCTATAACATTGAAGTTTGGCCAACAAATCATCATGCCGCACATGGTCAAAGGCCTTAGAAATATCAAGCGCAACAGCTCCACGTTTCTCGATTGTGTTATTCCAAATATGGGTGACATACGATAGAAGGTCGCCTGTTGATCTTTGTTTCCGAAAGCCATATTGGTGATCTTTCAAGATATTGAAGCCTACCAAATATTTGGGGATATGGTGGTTTACGGCTATCTCCATGATTTTTGATATCACTGAAATTACGTTGAGGATACCCATTATTTTGAGCTATTTTCTTGAAAACTGTTGCCTCTATATCATATCTTTCTTTGCTCAAAAAAGAGACTAGTCTTTTAACAACAAAATTTAGGCCCGCCATTTTTGTTGTAGACAATAGTGAGAGCTGTCAGGGATATACCTATCTGAAAGTAATATTTATATACATCCAAACCCCTCATCAGGTAAGAAACTATTTTCCCGGTCGTTGGATTGGCCGTCGAGGTCCTACAGGATGGCCAGCCCGCTCGCCAGATTTAACACCTTCGGACTTTTTTTATGGGGCTGATCGAAGCAAAAGGTGAACAAAACTGAACCTGCTTCAATATTGGATATACGGCGGAGAATAAATATTTGTAGAGATATTGACGTTACTGTGTTCGAAAATGTTCGGCGTGAAATATCGGATATACTGTTCATATGTCAAGAAGTTCTAGGCAACCATTTCGAGCATCTTCTGAACTGACCTCAAGCTTATTACCTCATATTATGTAGTTAAATGTCAATGTATTCAGGCAATTATTAAATGTTCCGACATTTTGTAGTAGGTGAAGATATTGATATTATGTTCTAGGTTTCCCAGATGGCACCCAGTCGCCATCTTGAAAGTTTCATCTGTCAATTTCACTTCAATATTAAGTTTTCATGCATTAATTTCATTATCTCAAATTTCAATTTTTTGAGTTGACTCGTTCAAAAAATAATAGAAGGGGGGGACATTAAAGAAATGCACTGTATAATATTTCACTTTGTGTGAAGAATTTAGATGAGAGAAATATGATTTATGACCATGGTTTATACCCTTCCATTGACAACCACAGACCGCTAAGGGTAATATAATGAATAATCAACAACGAACCACACAATACATCGAAGTCACGATACTCACAATTAATACGCACGTGATGCAATCATTGAATCGTTTCAAAAAGTTTTCTCCGTTTCAATGTCATGTATTTTGGTAGCTCTGTGTCTCAAAACATATTTATTCTACTGTATCCTGGTAAATACTGATCGATAGATAATTCAGTTTTTCAAGATTTTAGTTTTTGCCTCTTTTGCCTATGGTTTCGAAAGATCAAAGAGCTCGAAAAGTAAGTGCCCCACGATTTGAAAGATCGATAGAAATTGTCACGTTTCGAAGTCTGCCCTTTTTTGCTTTTGCGTAACCAAAACGTTGCTTTCGTGTATTGGATCGTCACGTGTCATGAAAAGTGCATCCTGTACGACAACAGGAGACGTTGTTAAGGACAGTGGTCGGACACCGATGAGCCACTCAGGCACTTCCCAAAGGCAAAAACTCACCAAAGAAGACCATGGTTTGTAGTCATTCAATTATTTAACAAACAGATATTTTAGGCACGTATATCTGTACATAATTATAGTATTTTATATCAAAACTGTTAACTTATTTTTAACATGAGTGGGGCGCAAGGCCTGGAGCGACTGTTCCACCCTAAGGACGGCAATGATTTGAAATGAAAGCAAGATCAGAGTTAGAATTTTCACCATTATGCAACCCACAGGAAGATATACTCACATTACGATTAAATTTGCATCACTGGAATGTTCTAAAAGCAATTCTCTGAGTCTGAGCTGCCTAAAAGTTTTATCTTGTGAGGCTGATATTTCAGCTTCATTAACCAAGCAATCTGCAAAGAGAGACAATTTCTGATGGAATCAATGAATCTCATTTTATAATTTACCATTTTCTCCCACTTCGTCCTTCGTACGGAAAGGAGTGAGCAATTCATCAAAGAATTCCACTGTTGAATTTTGAGGTTTATCACTTATCGAAACCATCTTCAGGCTGAAATAGTCCAGCCGAAACTTTGTCAGCAAATGCGCCATACTGAAACAAATGAATGAAAAGTGAATGACTTTAAAAACAAAATAGAATTAGTTATCTTCATCTACAATAATTATGTTTCGTTTTCAACGGAACACCCTAAATAATACGAAGAAATGAGTAATGTAATATATGAGTGGGATAGGAAATAAGTTTTTCAAATATCCATTAATGAGTAATCCCAAACTACAAAAACATGCAAATTTGGGAGGAACAGAAATAAGTTCCACGATAGAAGAACTTTCTTGATAAATTTCGTTTTGCAATTATTCGAGATTATAATTATTATCTTTGTGATTCTGAAGCGATGCTACTATTTCTTATATTTCATTATCAACGATTAGAGTGTTATTAATTCGTTACACTTACTTCCTCTCTTCCAATTCTAGTTCATTTTTGTTGGTGGCTAGAGCAAAAACTCTGAGTTTGCAACAGGACCAGTCATTTCTCGTCGAAATTATGTAAGGCAGCAACATTGTCAAACCTCCATCGTCATATAACCACCAAACATCTATGAAACCTTTTACTTGTTTCCGTTTGAAGAAGTTCATCCTTTCAATAGAAAGTTGTTGATCAGGAGACATTCCAAGAACATCTTTCAGACCAGGATATTTTTTTTTATTCCGAACCTTTTTAGGACCTTTCGGAGTTGCACCTAAAAATATATTATTTGATTATTGAAAATAGTATATTGCGCACCTAGGGAGAAAAGTATGGCATTCTCGCCCGCGAAATTTCGATAACATCGCGGACGAGGAAGCCGTGCTTGTACTCGTGGTACGTATATGATGTTTTCTCACTGCGGGATGAAAAGTTTGGTTGATTTGGCGCTTTTCAATCACGTTAAAAATTCAACTGTCGTCACGTATTTCAAGTTGTCATAGACATTTTGATATTCGTCGCTTAGGTTACCGAGAAAAAAAAAGTTATGAGCATGTGCGTTAGTGTTATCTAACTGGGAGAGAACGGGGCACTTTTGTCCCGCATATCGGAGATGAAAAGCGAACCTTTCATCCCGCAGTGAGAAAAAAAAACATTTTCAAAGGATCAAAATAAATTATCATCATTCTTATTAGTCAGTGGGCTATGCTTGAAGACTGGCAGCAAACAAATCTGAAGAAATGAACTTTAAACGTTCAAGCCAGTCTTGAATATACCTACACAGTAACCTACTAACCTACACAGTAGGTTGAATGGACTGACGCCTATCAGAAAACAACTTCTCTCCTGGCTAATACCACGTGAAGGGCGTTGGATTATATCCGACAGGCGTCAGTGAAGGAATATTCACAGAAAATTTCCTGTATATGCAGTTGGCAATACAACTGAAAGAGTCGACTTTCAATTTTGGAACGGCCACACTTGCAGACCGGTTTCGGGCTCATTAGCCACTCATCAGCCACTCAATCCGTTCCAAAATTTAAAGTCGACTCGTTCAGTTGAATTGCCAATTGCATATGCAGGAAATTTCTTGTGAAGATTCCTGCACTGACGCCTGTCAGATATAATCCAACGCCCTTCGTGGTATAAGCCAGGGAAGTAGTTGTTTTCTGATAGGCGTCAGTCCATTCAACCTTCTGTGTAGGTATATATCTGAGACTGGATTGAACGAAGGAAAACTGAAAATGATAATACTAGAATAAAAGACAACCACCACTTTATACGTGAAATAATTGATTGCATAATTAGAAATAATCAAGGAGAATGGTTTGCCGATAATATTTCACCTTCATTGAATAATCAGTAAACTGTGATGGGATCAACATACTAAGTATATTTCAATTTAGTTATTTCATTGTATCAAAATACAGTACACTGCATTTTCGATTATTTTTGAATACACCGGCCCGTTACTTGGTGAAAATCAATTACACTATTCATGATGATAATTACAAATTTTCAAGTTTCCTCAATTGGACCAGTACAAACGATGAAACGACTGTTGTAGTAAAACGCGTATTGGACATGAAGTCTATATTGTGAAAATGTGTAATTATGAATACAATTTTTTGCTTAAGAAACTTCATGACGAATTCATATCTGGGTCTAATAATGTTTTGAGAAAAATACACCTGAATACCCAATATGGTTTTGTTTGCCATTTTAACATTAATAACAAGGGCTCGGCAGAATCTTAAACAGTTTTAGGCACTGTAAATGAATTACTCAAAGTCTCACAAAATGAGATTTTCCTTGCCAATATTCAGTAATTATATAAACGATTCAGTTCCACAATGTATATTCAGTATCAATATACTCATGTGTATTTGAACCCACTGTATTCCGTCACAGCCAAATGTAGACAGAGCCTTATCTTTTGTGCAATCTTAAGCAGGTGCCTACTATGTTATGAAGATGCATCTGCAGATTACTGTAGATTATTATTCAAGTGAAACATTATTGTGAGTTTTCCACTGGACAGTTTATAAAATCCCAACATGGTTTAACCCCCAACATGTGTTTCGCTATACAATAGCTTTCTTGAACTTTTTTATGTGGTAGATTATATTCATTTGGATATTCGATTTTTGGAAGTTTGTTCAATTAGAAATTCAATCCGAGTGGAAGACCCTCTGAGAGAGATAAACCTTGAAGATAATGACAGCTGAAGTTTGCCGCGTACCGTTGACATATACCACTGTCGAGACAGTCAACATTTTTCGCAGAAGTAGGTACCAGAAGAAGAGGAACATTTCTTCGATGTTCGGGACTATCAAGGTTGCTTGAGATGTTTTTTTTTCCTGATTCTAAATAATTAGCCAACATCACTTTGTCAAGATATATATTTTTTAAATTTGACAACAAATAAATTAATCGTGGTAGCGAGTATAATCTAGTCATTGTTGTGTCTTCTTAGACAAAAACTAATGCAGAACTGCTCGGTTACTGCCAATGTAAATCGAAGTTTTCACCTCAGCTTCATCAAAATACAAACATCTTGTTGTTTTCGAAGAAATGCATTCGAAAGTGACATCTCATTATCTAAATAGAAACAAGTAGAATGTGTCACTTCGTCAATTTTTATGTGGTAGATTATATTCATTTGGATATTCGATTTTTGGAAGTTTGTTCAATTAGAAATTCAATCCGAGTGGAAGACCCTCTGAGAAAGATAAACCTTGAAGATAATGACAGCTAAAGTTTGCCGCGTACTGTTGACATATACCACTGTCGAGACAGTCAACATTTTTCGTAGAAGTAGGTACCAGAAGAAGAGGAACATTTCTTCGATGTTCGGGACTATCAAGGTTGCTTGTGATGTTTTTTTTTCCTGATTCTAAATAATTGGCCAAATTTGTTGGTTCAGCAACATCACTTTGTCAAGATATATATTTTTTAAATTTGACAACAAATAAATTAATCGTGGTAGCGAGTAGAATCTTGTCATTATTGTGTCTTCTTAGACAAAAACTAATGCAGAACTGCTCGGTTACTGCCAATGCAAATCGAAGTTTTCACCTCAGCTTCATCAAAATACAAACATCTTGTTGTTTTTGAAGAAATGCATTCGAAAGTGACATCTTATTATCTAAATAGAAACAAGTAGAATGTGTCACTTCGTCAGCAAAATAATATTATATTGGACTAGCGATTCGCTTCGGCTCGGCACGGGTGCAGTGTTGATACTTAATGTAAATTCATCCACTGGAAATTTAAGGGAATGGAGAAAGAGTGATGAAAAGATTATTTTGTTTGATGGACTCGCCTTTTTCTCCCGCGGCTAGCGCTCTAGTTGTAATATTTAAAAATCCTTTCCTACAGTATGAAACGAACCTACATACAAAATTTCACCCTGTGAAAGTATGCCGGTTTGGAGAAATAGTGATGCAAAGGTAACGCGCCTTTTTCTCCCGCGGCTGGAGCCCCAGTTGTAATATTAAAAAATCCTTATTGCACATCTATAACATAAAACGACCTAGATACAAAATTTCAGCCTCCGAAAATATAGCGCTACGGACAAACAGTGATGAAAAGATAATTTTCATAAGTAAACGCCCCTCGTGTTCCCCCACAGCAGGCTCCACAGTTGGAATATTTCAAAATTCTTTCTTAGTGCGCAAGATGCGTACTATATACAAAATTTCAGCTTCCTAGGACAGAGTTGAATGAGTGTTCATAAGTAGGTATAGATTTCTAATCATTTTCGTTGGGTCATTGATGTAAAATAGAAAAAGTGTGTGAATAATAGAGATTCCTGCGGAAATCCAGAGTTGATGGTGAAGTTAACTGAGATGGCTACTTACAAAAAATGATATTTTTAGAAAACTGATAAGACATGTATGAAACGATCTAGCAAGCCATAATACTGAAGTTTAATTAGTGAACTTTTCTAGTTATCGACTCCATTATGCATGTTTCTCAACTGCATTGTTACAAGTGAGTGAGTACAAAAATCACCTTTCATATTGCTTGTGGAAACCATATTCATTATCTGTCAAGATGTTGAAGAACTTACATTTTGAGTTAGAAAGTAATAGGATGTAGTTGATCATATATGAAAATATTGATATCAAATACCTGTTGTACCTAAATTACTGAATATTCTGAAGGAATGTCATAATTTTAGAGTACAATGGGACATCGATATCTTGAAAACTACCCATTTTTTGAAATTGTGTCCATTGATACTTTTGATCAAGGAAAAATCATGAGCAGGGTCTCAGAACTATAGCATCTGATTCACTGAGAAATTGTCCATATTACTCACTTATAGAATTTCTCTCCGGATTTCCAACGTTCTGGAGACTCAAATTTGAATCTGCATGCATCATGTTACTGGAAGCTGATGTTCTGAATTCGTTGATAGTGCGTAGTGTCAAAGTGACGTCCGCATTAGTGTTACCTTGATCGTCGACTTCTTCAGTTAGTGTGCTATAATCCAGGCCATCACTAATTCTCAGTATGGCAACTGAGACTCTGTGATCGAAAGCCGCGCTGAAAAAATAGAAAGTATACTGAAGGAAGTTATTTCGCAAGTGAATAAATTACTGTAAGACATTGAAATAGGCCAGTAACTCTTCCTTGTCACAAGTTTGCCAGTTATTTTTATATCCCATCATCAGTACGTTCGGACTGAGTTTACCAATGCCGGTTGTCTGAATCAAGGCCTTGGCTCCAACTTCAAACGGCATATTGTCAATAATAGTGTGAAATGCCTTGATTTTGTTATTTCTGAGATAATCATAAGCTTTGTTCGTTTTGTTCATCCTCAGTCTGTGAGATAAGCGTTCCTAAAATGAAATATCTGAACAGTATTTCTTAGGTGTTTGTATATTTGAAATCGTGTTCTTACATTCACAACGTCGCCAATCAAAAGAAGAGAATTGTTCTTTGTGATCATGTTGGCGAAATCAATCAACTGCGGTCTGGTCTGTGGACTTCCACAAAGAACCAAAATTTGTGGTTTATACGTTTTCACGTGTTCTCCTATATTATTGAGTCTCTGGGCCGTAGTGAGAGCCGTTTTGTACGTCTGAGCTTGAGTCGATGATCCCCAATTTACATCTACAAAAAATATTGCCATTTGTATAATGATTGTCATTATTATTATTGAAATTAAAGTATAAACAATATAAACAAAAAAATTTCACACTCAGGTGAAAATATTCAAAAATATCTTTAGAAAACGCCAAATATTTGCTAGGCATATGATCATTTGAAGCACTAAATAAAAAATATTCACCTGGCTTTCTGTAGACAACCAATAAATAAAGTCCCCAAATGATACCAAAGGTGATCAAGGACGACCACCAGTTGATCAAGAACATAATAACGACACACATAATGAATCCACAGAGGCTCAGCCATGTGTTGTAATACTGAAAATTGAAAAGTATTGAAATCATTTCGAATAGATTTTTTTAAATAATGAAACATATCACTTGAAACGTTCAGTATTCTCAGCTTTGTATTTGAAAATGTATGTAGAAATGAAATATGCCTTGAGAAAGTGAACATTTTCAGTGTGAATGTAGAGAAGCCATTCAACAGAAAATGGTAGAAGTATGGTATGACAAAATGAAAATCTGAATATATTTGCACAATACATACACATACCAAGTATCAATTTGGAAACTTTCATTCGTCATATATTTCATCTAGACAAATTCAAGGTCAAGGATTGAACATGTCAAATAATATAACACGCAGTTGATCTCTAATAACATAAACACCATACTGTACCCTGAATGTTGGTCGCCATCCCAAAGGTTTGATCAAAGCAGCGTGAAAGGTACAGAAATTAATGAGTGCGTATGATGCCAAATAAAAATTTGAAATCAAGGGAGCTATGGCATTGAGTTGTGCTGAAATCAGATAAAAAGATAAACTATATTGGACAATAATACTAACTAGTGTACTGACCTATCAGAACAAAAGCCGAAGACACAAAAAAAGTCAAAACGTATCCCCGATATGGTTCTCCGTTTTTTCCATAACCTTTAGAAAAATATATCAGCCCTGGATAAATTTTGTCGACACCCAAAGCTTGGATCAGTCTTGGAACAGAAAGAAGATTCGTCAGTGCGGTACTAAGAGTTGCGGCGAAGCATCCGACATAGATGAGGGGCCACCAGCTGGACATTATTTGCATCATCTACAAATTGTTTTTCATCATTATGTATCTTATAGTGTCATGAAAATAATTGTTCAAATAACCTTGTTATCTTTTAAGAATATGAAATAGAGAAGTGAACATATTCTATATGACTTTTTTCATTTTGGAAGGAACTTTTATTTTTATGTACCAGATAAGACGTTTCTAGAATTAATAAGGAAAATACAGTTAAAATTTCGTTTTTTATGAAAAGGGGTCTGCATGGTTCATTCCTTTTCTTACCGCACATATTTCTGATTGCTCGTTTTTGCAATACAAACACCGAGTTCATAAGCTGTTTGCAGCATACACCCCAGAATGATATTCCATTCCTCAAATGAGAGTCAATCATGGAATACTAAGCATTTTTAGCTGAGCGTAACCTAGCTTATTTGAGATTATTCTTAACGCATAGCAACCAGAGGGGAGTTTGTTGTTTAGTGCTCTTACATGTTCCTCAAATCTTAGCTCCTGATCGATGTTTATGCCTAAGAATTTTGTGGAGTTTTTGTTGACAATAGCATCGTTTCCCAGCCTCAATTCCTGTATTCGAGAGATATCCGTCGACGGCCATTTTTAGAGAACGTTCTTTCAGGAAGCTGAAGAGCCATACACAAAAATGATCCAACAAGCCATAGCATCGAAGTTTAGCCAGCAAATCCTCATGCTACACACGGTTAAAGGCCTAAGAAATATCAAGCGGAACAGCTCTTGATTCTCCATGTTTCTCGATTGCGTTCCAAGTATGGGTGACATACGATAGAAGGTCGCCCGCCTATTGATCTTTGTTTTCGAAAGCCATATTGATGATTGGTCAAGATGTTGAAGCATTCCAAATATTCGAGGATATGGTGATTTACGATTTTACGACTTTCTCCATGATTTTTGATATCACTGATAGTAAAGCGACTGGTCTATAGTTGTTTGGAAGATTTTTCTTGCCCTTTTTGGAAAAGGCTGAACGCCTCAAAATTCGCCTGACTAGGTGGGAATCTAAATTGAAATAATAACAACGGCTATTCTTTCACTCAACTAAGAACAGACATTTGACAAAAGTGTTTGACAATATTGTTATTATATGACGAATCATACAGAGATAGAAAAAAAAAAAACAATATTTAATTTAGTTTCATTTCATTTCATTCCACTATTCAGTGGAAATAATTTCTTTAACTTTATTTTTAAATGAAAATAATGTTTTGAAGAATGGAGTAAAATAACTCACCCTTATGTAATTTCGATGATATTTAAGGCTCCAAAAAAGAAAGTGTAAATAATAGGTATAACTATGGAACGCCATCGAAACTTGTTCGAGCAGAGGATTAATATGGTCTCACCTTTCGAATGAGATATTTTGCTATATATCGTGTGAGGTGTAATTTTTAATATTAATTTATATCTTCTACCTGGTATGGGAAAAACTACCACGGATTTGTATAATAATTACAAATATCACTTCACTCGAACTAGTATATGTTTTAAAACATATTCAATGACATTAATACCTTTGAATATTGAACTGAACAATTTGAAATTTACTTCATATCTCTGGTAGGCACTCATTTGAAGTCATAAAAAACAATAATTAGTAAAATTTCATCACATCTACCTGATAGCTCTTAAATAGTCCATAATCACAAGAGTAATCTACAGCACATGCTGACAATGTTCCATTCGTCAAATCATCGATGGAACCACTGGCATCTCTCAAGGCAGTCCCTCCGGCGAAAATTACGAAAAGTGCATACGAAACCATGGATATGAAAAGAGCCAAAAGAGTGCCTTTTGGAATCGCCGAAGCTGGATCCTAAAAAAATATTCTATATTCATTTGCTCAAGTAATCTAGTGCATAACATATATAATCAATATTAACTTTCACGGCAGAAGATTATCGTGTCACAGCTCTTTTCAGGGTTTGTTGCCGTGGTCTGCAGGTTTTCATACTTGATGTTCCGTCTAAGAATTCGGTAAAGTATTCTAGTTGTTTTCACAGCAGATACTACATCTTCGTTAAAGATATGATTTTTTTTTCTAGAAGATGATTTGAATATGTTGAACTTGTTTTCTTATCCACATAGCTCATATGATGTTCCTGGATTCGATTCCTAAATGTTCTGCCTGTTTGACCAATATATACCTTAGGACACGTTCCACACTTTGATTTATACACTCCTGATTTCTAGAATTTCGATGTTTTATCTTTATTATTTCAACTAACTTTTCCAACGTATTACTTGTTCTATATGCAATTTCAATATCTCGTTTTCTCAAAAATGAAGCCACTTTTTCCGCCCGTTGTTTGTCCAAAATACGTTGAAGCTCTATAATTTTGATTATTAGATTATTATTTTGCGGAGATCAAATCGTGAGGTGTAGTTTATGGTCTCACCCGTTTCACTTCAATGGTGGTGGTGATGCAATTTAGTGCAGGTAGAAAGACTTTATTTATGTTAATACCCTCTTTTTTCCGATTGAAATTGTTTTTGTGTTTCAAAATTACCATTGCATTCCATTAGGCTTTCCTAAATAATCAGCACCCTCATCTTTGACTTGGCTGCTAATTAAAACTTTGATTCTGGACGGTGCGATGCATCTGTGAATCTGAGCGTCTTCCCGAGGAACTCAATCATTTGAATAATGCTTTCAAAAACGGGTAAACTGAAGCCAAACCTGAGATGGTAATACAATTCAGAAAAAGAAATGCCAAAAAAGCATATAGGCCTGTCAATGAAAACGCTTTCCTACGGTATATGGAGACCGGATTGGAAGAAATCGATATTCAGGCCAACAAAAACCATCAAAGCGAGTCTAATGTCAGTCAAGAACCCCAGATGACCTTCAGGAAACAGAGGGATAACGTGTTACTTGTATCTATGTATCGCTTTACATTGGAATAAAGTACCCGTGCCTCTGAACACAAGAGAAAATATCGCCTGCGGAGTACCGGTACATCAGGAGTAGCGGAACATGCACTCAGAGAAGGTACCCATGTGATGGATTTTGTAAAATCTAAGTGCTCGATAGAACTCAGAGTTATTATCAACGACTATGTATGGAGCCGATAGAAATGCATAAACGCAGAACCAATTTCACTCAAAAGGAAGAGAGAATTAACATAAATGGAGGTTGGCTACCTATACTCAATCGCACTCGTTATCAAATCATCGAATTAAAATAATAGGAACGAAACCACGCCCCCCACAAAGGAATGAAACCGGATAGCGGCACCATTAATTTAGAATCTGTTGCAGTGACAACTATACTGAAATTCCCCAATAGTAGGCACTAAATTCTCGGAAATATTAATGCATTAAAACATAAACATTGTTGTCAGGCTGTGATTCTATATATGTTATCATCTTCTATTCAAATCATACACATGCAGCTAAATGGTCATAGAATAACGGACAACGTGTTTTATTCATTGAAAAAACTTCATGCTATCGAAACGTATAAAAAATTTGAATTATATTCTGCGATTAAAATTTTTAAATGACAACGTTGCGTACACAAGCGGAAAAAAGAATGGCAGATTAAATTTGTCGCAAGATAGAGAGAGATATGAATACTGACCATCAGCTGAGCGTGGTTAGGTTAGGTTTACATTCATGAGAATATTGGAGTGAATATTATTTTTTTCTTTGATCTGTTATTATAATTCAGTTATAAAGATTAAGATCTGTTTCAACAGTGTTGACAGTTTTGGAAATTCTGTTATACAAACTCAAATTGGAAATACCATTTTCAATAATATAATAAATAATGATATTTTTGTATAATACCTACCCTAGAAAAACATTAAAGACGAATAATACACTTTCTATAGATTTAATCCATTCCTAAGAAGTTTTAATGTAGTCGACGCGACGTCACAATACTATGTACCTATATTTTTAGGGCAGTAAATTAAAAAAAAATCATATCAGGTAAAATCCAAGGGATTTGTTTAAGAACGGAAACAAGGTAAGTATCATTATAAATCAGTTCAATTTTGTGCTTTGAACTATGAGCAATATGGAAAGTAAACGCATTGAAACCAAATGCAGACATCTGAATTTATNGACAGAATCTATACAAATTATATACAATGAGTACTGTGAGCTCCGTGAACGAAATAAAAATATGTTGCATAACAAAGTAGTTAATCTGTGTAGTAATTTAATTAAAGTGTTGACGAGAAGTGTTCACATAGTTCTGAAAACCTTTAAAGAAAATGGAGGTTAATATGAAAATGTATCTGACGGCATTGAAACTAGAGGATGAAAACAAGTTCAGCTTGATGATCGCACCAAATGTGTTATTCGTAGGAATTTCCATTTGTTGGTCGCAGCCAAAATAAGTTCCGATTAATCGATGCCCAAAATATCACGACGTGTTTTATTGCGCACATTAAAGCAAATGAAAATTAAATTTATGAAAAGAGTTAGGGAGAGTGCTCTTATAGAAAAATCCGAGCGTATATCGTCTTGAAGGTAGAAAGATTTATTATTTAGATGAGACTTGATTCAATCAAGGCCAAAGGTATGGCAAGATTCAGAAATGAAAAGTTGTCGACAAGCTTTTATTGAAGGTCCCTCAACAGGATTTGAAGAGCCAGCTGGCAAAGGACGGGGGCTCATAATAACTCATATAGGCAGCGATTTGGGTTTTTTAGAAAACGGCTTGACACTCTTGGAGTCCAAGAAAACTAGCGACTAATACGAGAAAATGGACGTGCAAAAGTTCGGAAGTTGGTTTTTGAAGATTTGACCAAACCTTGAACCAAAATTTGTCTTCGTCATGAACAATGCCTCCTAACATTGCAGACAATTGAAGCAGTCACCAACAAATGCCTGGCGAAAAGCTGATATCCATCAACTAGCTGTCTCAAAAAAATACCATTCGACGATAACATATTGAAAGTCCAATTACTCAATATTGCATGGAAACATATATCTCAGGTGAAGAAATATGTTGTCGATGAAATGCCTCCTGAGAGGAACCCCACATCCCTCGTTACCATTGTGAGCTTAACGCGATCAAGCTAATATGGACCCAAAAAAAAACCAAGTGGCAAGGGAAAATTAAACTTTTAAAATGGATGAGGTAGAAGGCTTAGTAGCTACTGCGATAGAAAATGTCACACCTGAGTCATGGAAAAAATGAAGTACGATAAAAAGTGGGATCTCGACACCAGAAGGGGCATTGCAATTGAACCATTGATCATTACCTTGAATAATAGCTACCGCCATAGTTGGTTATCATCCTACAAGTTTTTTCAGACGATAATGAATAATACAATACTGTAAGTAATTTTTAACTTTTTGCGGTGATTGTGATTCAAGTTATTATTTTTTTGCGATTATTTGCAGAATTTCACAAAAAATCAAAATGAACTAGTTGACCCTACATTAGACGCAAACTTTCGCTAAAACGACTTCCTTGATTTTTTTGTAAAATACTGCAAATAATCGCAAAATCATAGACGAAACCTCAGAAATATAAAGCTGAAGACCACGGCCAAACTCAAAAAATTGCTTTCACATAAATCAATTTTTATCAATTTAATGTACCTACCTTCAAATCACCGGATATGTTGGCTCCAGCCTGTATTCCAGTCACAGATGGAAAGAATATGGCAAAAACTTGGAAGAAGTCGTAGTCCATACCTTCTTCAGGTCTAAACATTGGCCCCCAGTTTTCAGCGAACACGGTTGCTGAAAGTACGTGAAAATTAAATTGGGACGGACCTGGCCGGTTGATTATGATTAGAGAAAAACTTCACTACTGAAAATGTTCACTGAAATCGAAGTATCAGTGTTTCAAAACAATTCGTAAATGTTATAGATTGTAGTACGCTGTCATATTCTGTTTTGTTACCATCAAACATAAAATTACATTCAATATAGACCCTGTTAGTCCTCAGGTCGCACAAGTTTCGACTTTTAAGAGTTTAAAAATTTGTTTAAAATCTGTTTAAAATATGTTTTTCCGTTAACCAGCTGTCACACCCCTACGAACGAAAACCCTCAGAAGTAGAAACTTGTGCGAGCTAAGGATTAACGAGGTCTTACCTTTTAACGTGTGATTCCTAACACGTGTTGTCGTTGGTAATTAATTATTATTTTTCAAGAATTTCTCCAATTCGTTGTATGTATATCGATTAGGGCTGCAAAAAAACCATTTTAGGTTCTACAGGGTGGCTCAAAAAAGTGTGACATATCAAAGTAGTGCTTTTTCAAATGAAACTGTATTTCGTTAAACTTTCGAATAGGTCAGGAAAAATAATATGATTTCATATGAGGTAATATGTACCTAACTTTAACCGTTTTGAAAACTAAATAACATCGAAATGTATAGAAAACATTCCTTTGATTTTTGACCAAGCATAAAGAAGGGTTTCGGGCTATCGATTTCGATAAAACCCGTTTCTTAATATTATACAGAATGTTCAAAAATCATTGTCACTTTTTTATAATTTCGGACAAATACACCCTGTATTTTGTTGATCTGAACAATATAAAATTCAATTATCCACCATTACATTTTCGGGTTCTCTATACCTAACCTGAATAGTTTTTCAGATATTGACTTTTTCAAAATATTTGTTATTTCGAAGAATTATTTGAATCAGGATAGCTTTGAAATGCCATTTATTCAACTTGTTAAAAGAATCCTTATCGACAGCTATTGTGTTTTTCGTTATTCAAAACATTAACTGAATTATTACCGTTGAGAATAAAAACTTATCTCATTCAAAAGCGGATAGATATGATTTAAACGAAAATATCCAGACCACAATCATCCAAACAAGTTGTTTTTTAAACGATTCGCTACATGAATTTCGTAGGACTGGAAGTGAAGCATATGAAAAGGCAAATAGACCAAAACCTATCAGTGGAAATGAGGAAAATGAATTACTTGTTATGAGATCAATCATAGAAAACCCTCATAAGAGTCAACGTAATATCGAGAAAGCTACAGGAATAAGCAGACGGAGCATTTCTAGGGTTAGGAAAAATTACAAATTTCACCCTTACCGTATTCAGATGCACAAGAAATTATATGAAATAGACTTTCAACGACGAATCGAGCTTTGTCTATGGGTCCCGAATGAATTTAGCAAGGATTCCATTTTATCTTCTGATGAATCTACTTTTCATAATAATGGCTCAGTGAACAGACACAGCTTCCAGTGTGTGCTTCCAGTGATGTGAATCCTCAATTTTCCGCACTCTGAATCACCAGAATAGATGTTCTGTTAACGTGTGGGGAGAAATTATAGGGCACAAGATATAGGACCCTACTTTTTTTATGGAAACTTGAATGGTTGGAATTTGTTACCAAAGCTCTTCAATGGAGAATGTGCCGCTGAATATCAGACAACAGATGTGGTTACAATTGGATGGAGCACCGGCAAATTCAGTGTCAGACAGTTTTTGAATATGTGCTTTCCGAATAAATGGATTGGTATCTATCACAAAATTGTCCAGCGAGATCACCAGATTTGAGTTGCTTCGATTTTTTCCTGTCTGAATACTTTAAGGATAAGGTTTACGACAATCTTTTAACCTCACAATAACATGAAGGAGAGAAAGGGCTGCGTTTCGAGAATTGACGCCTCAAATGTTATCAAATGTTGAGCAGTTTTTAATAAAGGGAGTGAATCTTTGTATTCAACTGGATGGTCGTCATTTTGAGCACCTACTTTGAATCGAATATATCTGAGTTTTATATTTTTTTTGTTGCAGTTGAATGCAGTTGAAAAACTAGTATAGTGTGTTCAATGAAATACTGTCAGAATATAAATGTAAACGATAACTTCATTTCAGTGAACAGTAAATACTTTCGATGAAGTGAAGTATAACAACTCATTTTGGGAACCCCAAAATGAAATGAAAGATATTGTTCACACCAAAAACATACAGTGTGTTCTATTTGAAATAATATAGTTATTTTTGCCCGAAATTACATTCTGTACAATACTGAGGAACGGCTTTTATCGAAATCGATGTCTCAAAACCTCTTTTATGCTCAGTCAGAATTTGAAGGGATTATTTCTATACATTTCGATGTTATTTAGTTTACAATTGTAGGTGGCATTTCCATAAAAAAAAAATCAATAACTCAAGAATAGTTATAGTGCCTATGAGGGTGTAGAAATGAGCGAACATAATACTATTATGAATAACGATGGTGGACCAATAGTTAATAGTATACTATACCTATAACTTGATAAAATAATATTTTAGCTATTAGAATTACCTGACTATTACATAAGGACATTGTAAAATTAATTCAAGACTAGTAGATGAGGCAATATTGTGAAGTTAATTCAAGACACTCAAGACGCAGGTACATAGAAGAGGTATCTATGGTATAAATAAGTATAACATTGTAAGTATATTTAATTTAATCTTCCTCTTGAAGATGATCACTTGGTAATCGAAACACATGTCGAGGTGTTAAAATAACGGTTTGGTGTTGGAATAAAACTCCAGTAATATATCATATGTCACACTTTTTTGAGCCACCCTGTAGACTCCAAAATAATATCCTTCTGCAGCATCATACATAAAATGAAATATGAAGGAATTTCCGAAAAAATTAATGGTACAGACTGGTGAAGAAGTTAAAAATGATTTATAGAATACTAGATTTGAGAATTCAAGTAGACTAGTTATTTTCAAAAATCAGGATAGGTATTTTATTAAAAATATAGAATACTCACAATTGAAACCAGTGAATCCTTGAGCCTGTTGTGTTTGGTCGAGAGGACCTATTATTGAACCGACAATGAAGTCTGCCATTGCCCCTACTATGGCTGCTATTAGGAAATTTTGTGCTTTTGATTCCCATTCCATTCCGATTGCACATATGAGAATCATAACCAAAATAGCAATAATACCTTGAAGATAAAATCTTGAAGTCAGATGAAACATGGAACTAGATAGTTCAAAGATATCAGTAAAATAAAATTTTCGAAATTCAACAAGTATGATGAGAAAACTATTCGTTCACTCATGATCCTTATTGAATATCGAAACTGTAAAATGAACGAATTATCATTTCTTAAGAAATAACCAACATTCAAGCCGAACAAATGAGCAAAAAATAAAACAAGGAATGATTTCATCCATTTTGATCCATAATCGCTTTGGTTAATGAGTGACGTTTCCTCCTGATGATTATCATGGACTAAAAAATGACGGTTCGATTTAAACAGTGTGTAACAACGAAAACTTAACAGAGCCGTTTTTGAATATAAAAAGTAAGATTTTTAAAAAAAGCTCGGACACGTCGATTTCTAATTGAAGGAGGACACCTTTCAGACTAATCAGATTTTTTGTAGTACGCACCCCCTCGGAGGGGTGCGTCC